GGCAAAGTTAGGAGTTATTTGTACAGTGGCTGACATTTTCTGCCCAACACAGATGAACAAAACTGGAGAAGGCAGTAGAATTTAAGACAGAGGTATGAAATTACCATGTTTCCTAAAATATTAATAGCATAGCAACTTGCCATCCCATAGTAGTTGCCTTTGGAAAAAGAGCTATTATCTGTTGAAATCAAAATCAGGTGCGACCAGAATTATGACTGTAATCTGAGAGAAGCAACTCAGAATCGCTGGAAAGCTACCTGGATTTCATTTTAAGGTGAGTGGCACTCTGCTCTGAGCACAGAACGCAGGTAAGAGCATGAGTTGGTAAGGCACGTGCTTAAAAGACTTTCTGCTCTGCTTTCCTCTGTGGGTTCCATCCCTTAGCTTTGTCAGATGCACCCCTTTCACCCTAACTCCATAAGTTTACCGAACTTTTACAAATGGGGAGGTAGACTTGGGTTTTGTTGAGGTTCTTTTTCTCCTCCTATCATTTCTTTTTCCGAATGCTTTACACCGGTGTTTTTCTGTTAACTACTAGTAAAGAGGTGAGCCTAGAGGAACTCTCAAAGTCGAGTTTCAGTAAGAACCCAGATAATGAATGGACCTCAGCAGTAGGTGGCAGCTTTGACTCTGTCTACAGAGTGCAGTGATTTCACGCAAAACCCAGTAATACTGATTTTGTGTGGTGAAACACACAATTTTAGGCATCCTCAGTACATGAGGTGTTACGGCGTTTTGAAGTATCTGACTTGACAAGGCAGGATTGGGATGTACGTGGGAGGCCTTATTGCAGGAGGATGGAAATCAACTAATCTTATAATCTGGAATGATTCAAACATACTTGCTGGGCCTCAGTTACCATTTCAACTTAGCGAGAACTAGTCTCTCCTTCCAGATGTTTGTTTACACGAGATCAATCAGTAAAAATGAAGTTGTACCTTAAACATATGCCAAGACTCATGTGGTATATATCCTTCATCTTTATAACCAAATGTTATATTAGGTTATACAGATTTAGGTAGGAAGTTTGGACTATCCCAAACTTTGAAAGACCCCACCCCACCCTATCAATTCCATGATGACATATTTGTATTTCCTGATAAATGTGAAGGAAGAGAGATATACCTAGACTGTGCTAACACACTGCACAAAATTTACCCTTTCACCTATATTAAATCATTGGTTACATCACCAAGATGAAACCTGGCCTCTGTTCTTAATATTTGCTGAAGAAAACACAGTTCTGCCAAATTGCAAAATAAAAATTGTCTAGCACAATTTCCCTAGCCACTTCCAGTAATTTTCCACTACTTTTTTTTCTGTCATTTTACATTTACATGAAGCTCAATTATTCTTTTTTGGTTCGTCTCTCTTTACCAACTAATGTTTACTTTTCATTCATTTTAAATCACGGGTCATATTCATGTCTTAGTTGAAGACAAGATCAGTTTATACTGGATTTTTTGCTTCTGTGTCACAGAGGTCTGGACAAATCTGACTTGCCCCTCAGCTCTTTACTGAGACGCCACCTGGTGTGTCAGAGGTGTTCTCTTCATTAAAGTTGGCTAGCATGCTTACTGCTGTTCTCCATCTCACATCTGAATTTTTCCTGCATGAAGACAAGAACCTCCGAATCAGTTATCATTAGTAACATATTTAGTAATCTAGCCAGGAGAGAATGAGGGCAGTGGTAAGCACTGCACGACCTTGCCCTCAGGAATTCTAGCCCACTTTTATCCTTTCTCCTGCTTTGTCTCTTGACAAAGTCATTTTGTTGCTATTTCAAGGAGACAGAGGTTTGCTCACTTTTTAACCCAAACACCTTGGCCTTTCCCTGCTTTTTCTCTTATAACCAAAGTTGCTTTGACACAGGAGCGTTATGTTATGTTGGGTCTGAGGCCATCTTACTTTCTTTTAAGACTCCACCTGTACCTCCTTGGCATTCTTATCTTTGTCTGACTTGCCCAGTGTCTATTCAGTGCCCAGGTCTGTGGATACTTTGAGATAGACAACATCAACCAAAAGGCCTTAGTGAGAATTTCTCACTTGGGCTGTAACAAAGCCAACGATTTCTCAAAACACACAAGATCACGCAAGTAATACCCTAGAAATATTCTTCCCCACATCAGGGTCTCCGAGGTGACATCTAACAACCATCTCCTTCCCTGGATGCTGTTGTATTTTGAGAACAAGAAGTAGCACACTCCTCCCAACACCCCCTCTGGACACAGGACAAAGACTGAAACATTTGTTTCTCCTATCTCCCCCTTGCCACCCGTTCTGATCCTCTCCAATCTAATCAGAGGCCCACATTAGTCTGCAGCCTTCTCACCCACATACTTAATATTAAATTAATAATAAGATTGCAACAGAGTGAATTACAGGCCACACAAGAATTAAGATGAGATAGCAGGGACCAGGGGGCTAGATGTACTCTCCTGAAAAATAGCAAAGAGCTGTCCCCCAGACATCATTTTTATTATGTTTCTTCTAATATGGTATTACAAAGATCCAAGGGTCTTGTAAAAATGGGAAAAGCAGAGATCACAAAAATAATGATACAATTGACAGTTTTATTGTCTATCTCATGGTGTCAGGCAGTGGGGCAATTGGGTTTCAGCTGGTCAACTTCATTATCCTCAGATTAACACTCAATCGACTACAAAAACTTCCATGGCAACTGCATCAAGATGCACATTTTCTGTGTGCCCAGGCCTCCCCTTCTCAGGCAAGGGCCTCACCAGAGGCCCACACAATTGATACGGTTTCCAAGAGTAACCACTGTGAATCAAAGTGCTCAAGCTTAAAGGCTCACATTTGCTCACCACTTACCTTGGCCTAAAGTCATTCTTAAGCCCAAACATGCCCAAGCTCGTGCTAAACTACAATGTATTCTCAACAAAGGAGGCCCTAAAAGACAAGCCACCTTCAAATTGCATCTGTTCTGGATTTGGAAAGCCAGACATTGGCAAACAGTTGTTGCGACAGAAACCAGTCTCTGAAAGATTGCAGTATGCCTTGCCAAAACTCATGCTACTGTAAACAGAACATCCCCAGGGGTCAAAGGACTCCCAGGTCACAACCACAAACCCTGTTAATCCAAGGCTAAAAATCTGTTCGTTGCACTTGACGCCCAAACTGACCATAGTTATTGAAGAGACAGGGCCTAGTGTCATTGTTGACATAAAAAGGGACTGTGGATTTTCCTCTAGATACAGCATCTGATTACTCTGTTAACCTCACATACCGGGCAGCTCTTCTCCCAGTCCAGATGCTATAAACCTGCCCAAGTGCTATTAACTTAAAACCTTTCTCCTGTTAGTTCCTATTTGCCTTAAAGGGTAAGAAAATAGGGTATAAAGAGCGTATAACGTGCACAATGTTGCCACAGGTATTTTTGGATAGCTCCTACCTATTTGGGCGTACTCTTGCAGAGAACCTAAAGGGTGAATCTATTGATGAGGGCACAGGTGTGATCTAACATGTAAATGATTTATTAGTCTGTTTTCCTACCTCGGACTTTAATTATGCGTATTTGACTAGCACCCTTAACTAACAGAATATGGCTACTGGGCGTCCAAAGAAAAATAAGAATTGTTTTTCTGAGGAAGTAAACTAAGAATCACCCTCACCTGAGGCGAACAAAGAATGACTTTAGAGATGGCACAGACCATGTACTAGATTCCTGCTCATATAACATTAAGGCAGTTCTAAGTATTTCTCAGACTGAAAGGATATTATAAGTGAAGCATCCCTAGGTATGAGAAAATAGTGAAGCTGCTAGAATAGACTCTCAGGAGAAGTCAGAACAGCGACCTATGCTTTGGGAAAGAAAATAAAAACAAACAAAACAAACAAACCAGCCTTTGCTCAGTGAAATGCTGTTTAAGCCCGTGTGCTTGGGTTGTTAAACCCAATCCTTGAAAACAGATATGTACTTAGAAACACTAGCTGCTGCCCGGGGGAACATCTGTGCTACACTCCAAAAAAATATTATGTGTGGGTGATATAAAACTACATGCAGCATTTTTTTGGATGAGGCTACACAACCCTAGGGCAATGTTCAACAGGGTTTGAATTTTCGGCCAACATTGGATGGTAGAAATTCTTACTGTTGCCTTTCCTTCACTCTGTAGCTTCTGTACTCTTATTCTCTTTATTGCATGTGTCTTTAGCGCTCTGATATTGTATCTGACAGAAGAAAATACATTCAGCTTCAGGTAACTATGAGGCATGGCTTTCAGCGTATCCAATTTTGGGCAATATGGACACATACAAGACAATCATTTGCAAGGTCACCCTCACACACCGCAGGATATTCAGAGAAGAATTACCATAACCAACTCTATATCAGTATGTCAGCTTGAAGAAATTAAAGAAGATACACCTTCAGCTCTGCTGACTTTATAAGAATATGGGTAACTTCTCTTGTCAAGGGGAATCTAGGAGGACATTAGTTCATGACTGTATGAAGGGACAAAGAAAATGGGAACTTTCAGAAGAAAATAGACACGATTGTGTGGTTGAATGAGAGAAGAAACGTAGAAGCAACCAGCACTTACACACCGAAAGCCTTCTCCCTTGTTCAGTAGTCTTGTTGTATAGACTTTTTGTGTTTGTTTAATGAGGCAATAAATGTAGAAGCAGCCCAGAATTTACATATAAGAAAGTCTTGTCCTTGTTCAATAATCTTAGAAAAAAAGTGGAAATAATAGTCTTACTCACTTTCCTGTAGCCCTTGACCCTTCGTGCCCTAATTAACTATGCAAAAATTGTAAAAAAAAAAAAATAAACCTTCTTAGGTGGGTTCCAACTTTCTCCCAGGGGGCAGACTTGAGGAATATTATATTCCCTGACTTGTCCCAATTAATTATGAGGCCCATTATAAATTTCAGAGAGATTTTAGGGGTTTCATATCCAGAAAACACTCACACAATATTCCAGAAGGCATGGGGATGATGGCAGAGGGGACTAGAAATAGGATCATTAGTGAATTTCAGCAGAAAATTCCAGTCTGCATGTGGACTGGACTCTCCGTTCTTTATTGAGATGCCCACCTGGTCTCTTAAGTGTAATACCTTCACTGAACTTGGCTAGAATTCTCACTGCTAAAAAAATTCATTTTGCCATTTTTAATAAAGATCCGGCTTGGGTTTTCCTACTTGATTGCATTTTGTTCAAATAGACAATGTTTCTGAAATGTAGACTAAAATCTTGAGATTTCTTGTTCTTCACAAATCAGCAGGCTAAAGATTCAATGAATCCTTTTGCTTCAGATATGATGTGTATCAAAATTGAAGTAGAATTATTTGAGGATTTCAGAGATCAGAATGGTTCCTTCCCTAATGATGAATCAAGAAAAAAAGAAGTAGACAAATAAAGACAAAGGTCTTATAGAATGTTGAGGGAAATCTTGCCACACTTTGGGACTTAGAGCAAGCGTATCACATCTAGAAAATTCTTATTCCTTAATACTAAAGGGCTGGTTTCACGTCATAGCTGCTATCCTTAGGTCTGAAGGATCTCTAATCCCTTTTATTCTTTTTTCCTGTCTTAAAAAGCTTTTTATAAATAAGCAAACAAACTTTGATGGCAAGGATAGTAACAATTGCCACACAGGCCAGCAGGAACCCAGCCACATCCAGAGAGTGGTACTGGTACCAGGTCAAATTGTGGGCAGCTGGCCGAAGGTGTTTGGCTCCTTTGTGGCGCATGACAAACTCGATCCAGAAGACGGCTCGGTCCAGGGGCTTCAAAGGCTGTTCATGATGAATTCTTGATAATTTCATAACATTCTCTTTGTACCTGTAAAAAACCAATAGACATTCTCTTGTAGAATGAACCAGAAAAATGAACAGGTGAAATTTTAATGCAGATGGTACAGGTGAAGGCCTTGTAAAAATGGAACAAAAACAAATTATTTTCTTCTGTAATCACTCTAGAGATCTTGGCTTAAAAGCTAGAATATGTTACTGCATAGTATTCCAAGATATGAAGAAAAAAGCTGGGTGATAACAAGAATTTTTATCATTCTAACCTAGAAGTGGGAATCGTGTAAGTCCCCAAAGCAAAATTCAAAATAAAATAAACATCAAGAAAACAGAAAGTGGGTCTGACACAGTAGCCTAGTGGCTAAGGTCCTTGTCTTGCACATACTTGGGATCTCATATGGCTGCTGGTTTTTGTCCCGGATGCTTCACTTCCCATTCAGCTCCCTGCTTGTGGCTTGGGAAAGCAGCTGAGGATAGCCTAAGGCCTTGGGACCCTTCACCCATGTGGGAGACCCTGAAGGGGGTCTGGGCTCCTCATTTCGGATCTGCTCTGCTACTTGAGGAGTGAACCAGTGGATGAAAGATCTTTTTCTCTGTTTTTCCTTCTATTTTTTTTTTTTTAAGATTTATTTTTATTATTTTTTCATTGGAAAGGCGGATATACAGAGAGGAGAGACAGAGAGGAAGATCTTCTGTCCGATGGTTCACTCCCCAAGTGAGCGCAACGGGCCGATACTATGCCGGTCCGAAGCCAGGAGCCTCTTCCGGGTCTCCCACGCGGGTGCAGGTTCCCAAAGCTTTGGGCCGTCCTCGACTGCTTTCCCAGGCCACAGGCAGGGAGCTGGAAGGGAAGCGGGGCTGCTGGGATTAGAACCGGGGCCATATGGGATCCCGGGCGTGCAAGGCGAGGACCTTTAACCACTTGCGCCACCGCGCCGGGCCCTTTCCTTCTATTTGTAAACATAACTTTCCAACAATAATAAATACAAATCTTGGAAAAAAAAAAAAGAAATGAAAAAGCATGAAATAAAACGCACTTGAGATTGGAGTTTGAACTATTCTATAAGCAATAGGTCTGATACACCAGGTTCAAAATAGTTCAAAATTTAGAGTAGAAGTCAAGTCCATTAGAAAGCCTAAGTACAGGGCCCGGCGGCTTGGCCTAGAAGTTAAAGGCCTTGCCTTGAACGCCCCGGGATCCCAGTGGGCGCTTGTTCTAATCCAGGCAGCTCCCCTACCCATCCAGCTCCCTGCCTGTGGCCTGGGAAAGCAGTCGTGGATGGCCCAAAGCCTTGGGACCCTGCACCCGTGTGGGATACCTGGAAGTTCCTGGTTCCTGGCTTTGGATGCATAGCATTGGCCTTTGCGCTCACTAGGGGAGTGAATCATCGGACGAAACATCTTCCTCTCTGTCTCTCCTTCTCTCTGTATATCTGACTTTGTAATAAAAATAATAAATCTTTAAAAAAAAAAGAAAGTCTAAGTACATGTTTGGTCAAAGTTGATAAGGAGTTGATATCAATCAGGGATTGAAATTAACTTTGTATCAGTGGATTAATGATTAAAAGGATGAAGGTACAAAAATGAATTTCCTTGTTTTGAATGCTGATTCTGATTTTTTATGTCCCTTTTCATACTCTTCTTTATTTTCAGTTTTTCATTGCTAAATAGAATGGAGACAAGTGATAGCTTATCTGATTACCTTGAACAATAATGCCTTGATTCCCAGATAACTTTGAATTATTCATATTATTTGGCAGACCAGCCATAAATGCTTCCTATTATAACTGTTGTTTTTCTTGTTAGTGTAATTTTAGAATGTGAAGAGTTCTCAAGACATTACAGTTGCATTTGTGTCTGGCATTGAAATGACTCAGGGCTGAGGGATAGAGCACAAGGAAGCATGTTTGCTTGTGGTTTACAGAGTCTGAATGACAAAGTTCTCTATGTTGGCACTGTAGCCATTGTAACATAGCTAATTTCTATGCCTGTTTATAAATTCAAAGCAAAGAAGTTTTTCCAAGTACATTATGGAATGGCTGTAATGAAGATGTCACATAATGTATATGAAAAATCGCAAAAAAATGTGTTTTGTAGTAATAGATATTCAATTTATGTCAGCAAATCTAGTTCTCTTTATTTTCTGTATTGTACTTATTTAAAGTAAATATAGAAATATTCCTACGTTAGATAAATGTGCTTTACATTAAATTAGCAAGTAAAATTTTCAGAAAAAGAAAAGCTTGCTTGTGATAATGCTCATCAGCATGACACATCAGAATTGCTCAGTAGCTGTAATAAGTTATGCAACTTTTGAAAGAATCTCAGTTGAACTTGAACTGTGGTAATGCAACAAGGTGGAGAAATCCACCTAGGGGGAGGGTTTGGGGAGGGGTAGGGGGAATCCCAGTGCCTATAAAACTGTGTCACATAATGCAATGTAATCAATAAAAAAATAAGTTATGCAATTTTTAAAACCTAAGTGTCCATTGCACTGTTACAATCAGTATATTCACAAGCAAAATGCTTTATTTCTAGTTAAAGTCATTATGAAATAAACTGGGAAAATATATGAAGACTATGATTGGTATCAAGAGTGTAATCATAAGATAATGATAGTTACTTTCCATACTGAAATAATTTGGGAACCAAATATTTCTTGTTTCAAAAATTTTGGCTACTACAAGTAACTTATTTCATGTAAATCACTATTTTGTTACTTTTTAGTTCTCCCAAGTAAGACAAGTCAAGGACAACCATAATAGCTAAAAAGAATATGCCCATATTTAAAAGTGGTACACTATTATTTAAGATAGTTTTAATTCAGTGAATTCTAAAGTTTTAGTTATTTGTCACTTATCAGTGAGAGAATCAAAATATAATATATAGTTGGGAAGTGATTAAATACTTGAATATAAATATAATGAGAAGTAGATGGATAATGTCATGCTAGTTTACTGAAAAAAATAATTCAGAATAGTTAAAAAACACAAAAATATGTGTAAGTACATGAGATAGTGGGTATGTTCATTTTTCCCTGTAGTATTACTTTTATATCGCACTTAGCATTGGGTAAAATCAAATTTACTTTAAAGAAATGTGACACAAATCTCTTGCTGGAAAGACGTTATAACTGCTGAAATTAATGATTTCGTGCTTCAGTACTGTTCTTAATATTTGTTCCTATTTTTATTTTGGTGATTCTTCTTATTTGATTCATTAGATGATTCAAATTTTTATGCTATATTTAGACATCTGAAGATGTTTCTGTAAAACTATTGAAAAAAATGTTGTGACACTAACAATGAATTATTGGTGCTTGTCATTAACAGCAAATCTGTACTCAGCCTAATCTTCATGTTCAGAATTGTGGTTTTTCTCCCTAGCCCTCATCTGAAAACTCATTAATGCATACATGATGTGTTGTTCAGAAAACAATACTCACGAAGGATCATGGATAACTGTCTTCAGGGCATTGAGTAAGTCTGCACTTGACATTGTTTTCCAGTCCAGTGTAACTGCTGCTCCCTTGGCCCTCATGTAGGCAACGTTATCAGGTTGTTCCGCAAATAAAGGAATGCCCACCATAGGAATGCCATGATAGATTGCCTCATAGATGCCATTGGCTCCACCGTGAGTAGCAAAAGCTTTGGTTTTTGGATGACCTAAAAATAGAGTGATTTTCAATAACATTATTGAGTCTTAGAAATGAGATGATAAATGCATGCCATGAGGCACTGAAAGAGGCAGTGCCTTCCAGAAAAGCAATAGATAATAACCATGACAGTACATTTAACCTGCGTTCTTATCAGGAGGAAGAGATGCCTACATGCTCTGGAGAGGAAGGTAAAGGCCATGGCAGAGGTATCATGTTACTTGAGACTTGTACAACATAGGATTGGCAAGTATTATACGGAAAGAACACATTCTACATAAAATAAACATCATAAGCCAAAAAAGACAAACATCCAAATGCATGTTAGTACATTTTTTTCTTAAAGAATTTGTGCACTCATTCAGTCTGATAGTAAGATAAGCAGGGCAGCGAGGAGTGGCATGGGCGTGGTGCTGGAATTGAAAGGAAAACCCACACTTCACCTTGAAATGTGTTGTTATTTCATGATAAGGCTTGTATTTTTTCCCATGGAAAATTCACAGTCATTCATTATACAAGAAAGACTATTTTTCAGTGGCATTTGGAACTGCCCCCCTACCCCATGTTAAGGGGAAAGGACAAACGAAGTGAGAGTTGGAGAGATAATGCAGCAAATTACTATTACTTGTATTAATGGGAAATAGGATGAGAGTGATTCAATGTGAAAGACAGAGAGAGGGAGAGAGAGAGAGAGAGAGAGAGAGAGAGAGAGAGAGAGAGACTTTTCCAACTGTTACTTCACTCCCCAAATACCCACAACAGCTTGGTAACTTGGGCTGGGATAGCCTGTTGTCAGGATGCCAGAACTCAATCCATGCCTCCCATATAAGTGGCAGGAACCCCAGCAATATCCTTCTGCCTTGGTTGGGTGCACCAAGATACCATTGGAAGTGGAGCCAAAGTTGAATCCAAGCACTTCAAGTCCCAATCTGTGTCTTAGCTGCTCTGACAAAATACTCATCCCAGAAAATGACTGAGATTCTGTATGAGAGGTGGCCACACTTAAAAATACTTTGATTCAGTGTATAAAGATTTTGTATATAATGAAATGTCAGCTGTTGGAGTTCACTGTATTTCCCCTAGGACTGGAAAAATAAATGCGAAGATGTTTGGTTGTGCTTCTGATGGTTCCAATAGTAAGTGTCCAATCTGCTTTTGGCTGAGCACTCATCCTGCTTGGCTGCTACTCACATTGTCAACGTTTGTTCTCTAGAGTCTTACCAAGAAGGTCATTCTGGGGGATCCACTTATACAGCTGAGTATTGGCTCCTAAATGAGCTGGCTTCATGCCCTCATATCTCCAAATAACCTGTTAGTAAAGAAAGCACTGATTGCTGGGTTGTATTTCAAATGATAGTGAAATAGAATTCTAAAAGAATTCTCAAAGTGATTACTTTTGAAATTTCTTCCGGAGGAAAATACAAGTAATAGGACAGGAGAGCTTCTGTGATGAGGCCTAGAAGTCCAAAAGACTGATGCAAATAGTATAGCTATGTTAGCTTACTTGTCATACAAAATGTACTGCCTGTATTATGGTTATGTTCAAAAGGAGAGGGGTGCCATGGCATATCACATATTTCCCCTTAGTCAAAGGAGATGATCAGCTTTTTTTAGGCAGCTGTAATTCTAGGACAAAGAAGAGTAACTCATAACCAGTGGTCTTCATTTTTAAGATATTTGTATTTGTTATGTTAGCTTCATCTTTCAAACTTAATTACTTTTAAAATTTTAATCAAATTAATCAAGAATTTAATCATAGTCACTTGCTTCATAATTTATTTTGTTAGAGTTGGACATCTTTTGGGTCACATAATAGCAAATCTGTACAAATACATGTGACTAATAGATTCTATTTAGAAACTGTATTTAACTTTAGTAGAAATTATTAAACACTATTTCTGGGAAGATTTCAAATGATGTTTTTGAAATTAATGCATAGTATTATCATTATTACCAGGATTAAAAAATCCCTTAAATGTAAGAACTAAAAGCCAGTTTGTAAGTAATGTAGTGGTTGAAAAAAAAACCCAAACTGCTGTGATACTAAATTTTGCTCAATGAATTGTTAACTCTTCTAGTATATCCTAAAAAACATTGATGGCACTGATTAATGTGATAATAGCAAAATTTCCATGCCTAATACCAAAATAAATTATTGATTCGTAATGTCCAATCTAGCCTGATAAAGTATCACCTAAAGTTTAACTTAAAGTTTAACATTCTATTTGCATATAAATGCTAAAAGTAGTTTCAGAGTATCAGCAGAAATGTACGTAGATGATAAATACAAGTCTAAATCAAAGAAAACTACAAAGCAGTTAATAAATATCTAACGATCAGTTATCTTGTGTATATTATAATATTAGCTCCTTCTGATTTTTTAGAAGAGACTATCTGAGCCTCCCATTCCAGGTTTGCTTTTGTTTGATTCTATATTTGCCTTCCGCAATAAGAAGGTGTTCATCTGCTGAGTGAGGAGCATGGTCCTGTTAGGGGCCACATTATAGAATTCACAGGGTCCATCTTCAGAGTGGGACACAGCCTCACCTTTGCTCTTACGTCTTCCTGTTTCAGACACTGTCGGAGGCCAGTCCCACAAGGCTGACTCGGCTCTCCATTTCTCTATATCTACCTGGCTGAAGGGGTACCTGGATTCAGAGTTAGGCTCCTGCTGAACATACAAAGAATGGGCCTATTTCAAAATTAGAAGTAAAATGGTAAGAGTTACATGAGAAACTTCAACATCATCATGCATTTGAGGTTTTTTAAAGACGTGACAAATGTTTCTCTGTTAATGCAGTCATTAATTAAAATTCAATTTCTTGTTATCATGTTTAATGCATACAGTGGTCTTAACAATCTTGCAAGGAAAACAAGCAAATGACGGGCAGACTGGGGGTGATTTCTGTGTCCCTGCCTGCAATGTCATGGGAATACATGGCTTCACACTTCACCTATTGTATTTCTTTCTGTTCACACTGTTATTGTTGAAGTTATTCCCAATCAAAAATACTCTTTTTTTCCCTTACCTATCAAGTATAGTTTCATGGTCTCATAAATCAGAGCTACCAATTAGCTTACTTTTTGTAGCATAAAAACTTTTTGTAGCATAAAAACTTTTTGTAGCATGAAAACATTTTGCAGTGTTACCGCACTCACTTACTGCCTCCCACCATGAAGCAGCTTTTCTGACCTTTTGTGGAAGCTGGGCAAGCGCTGATGCGATCACATTGGCCCTCTCTTCTGTCATGTTACTGATCATTGAGCCCAAAGAAAACACCACAACTCCCTCTTCTCCAGAGCTCTGCACAAAGTCTTCCATGTCCTGGGAAGAGAGAATCCATTCTGTCACAAAAGGATGACAGCAAAGAAAATAGTCCTAAACAGATTGGTGCAATTACCTAGGAAGGAAATTCAAGTTGTCAGAAATTATGAGTAATGGCTGTTGTAAAATGTATGAGAGGAAATATTTCATTCTCCCCATTTCCAAGTGTACAGGTTATAGTGTTCATCGCTTTTGCATTGTTGTACTGCCAATGTCTCAAAATGTCTTTTTCTCAAAGCTAAAATTTCATGCCCTATGAACATCATGTGGTAACTGGATAATTGTGATCCTAATTTAATTCCTTTTTCATTTCACAGAAAGATGTGATCTTGTTTCATTTACCTTCTTTGTCCTGTTTCCAACTAGACTTCCTAGTTTTGGCTTATTTGGCACTATTAAAAATTCTTTGGTAAAACAATTATAATGATGTGGGATGTGTGTGTGTTTCACACTATCACAATTATTTTACCAAAGAACAATAGCACAGCAAAAATAATGAAAGAACTCAAAAGCAACAAAAGAGAGAAACCCAAATATCTGAAATTACTAGAGCAATGGCACTGGTAGAATATGACCAGAATCCATTCTCCCTCTCACTCATTTCTAGGTGTGTAAGTGTTAGTGGACAGCATGGTCAAAATGTTGCTTTATCAATGTCCCCAAATTTCTTCTACTGCACAATTGAAACTTTGCCCCCTTGTGAATTTCATATATGTTGAACTTCATCTGACCTGTGGTTTTCCAAGCTGTGGTCTCCTCGTTCCTTGTCAGTTTCTCTTTGTGCAGATCAGAAAATCTACTCAAAGCTATGTGGTATACAACTTGTGTTAATATTGCTTTAGTCTTTGGCTCTTTGAAAATTACCATATAAATCTGAAGCTAATTGTATTCAAAATGGATATTGAAATGTATCCATTGCATATGTCACTTTTGTGTTGCTGTAAGAAGATATCACACACTATACCAATAAAGAATGTTGACTTCTTGTGATATGATTTTAAAGCAGATTAAATCATTGTGTTTCACTACAGAGAATACAATGCTATCTGCTGGCAGATTTTGTTTCAGGTATAAGCTGAAGGCTGTTCTCATGTCTATCTGCCATGGACATGTCCCCTGTGTTCATTCTGGAGGGCAGCTGTGCTCCTGCGAACTTCACTCCCAAGCCAAGACTCACTGTGGTGTCTGATCAGCTTGCTATTGTGTGTGTAAACCTCTGGAATCTCAGTGACAAAGGATTACGTGTTGTGGTGGCAGCAATTAAGCATTTGATTGAGTTGCAAATATTTTTAGTACCATACAGTTATGATACAGTTATGCTTTGATGATTGGTTCTCTCTCTCTCTCTCTCTTTTTTTTTTTTTTTGATTTATTTGCAGGGATCTGGTGCAATAGCCTACTTTCTAAATCCTTGCCTTACATCTGCCAGGATCCCATTTGGGCACTGGTTTGTGTCCTGGCTGCTCCACTTGCAATCCAGCTCCCTGCTTGTGACCTGGGAGAGCAGTCCAGGATGACCCAAAAGCTTCGGGACCCTGTATCTGCATGGGAGACCTGAAGAACCTCTTGGCTCCTGGCTCCCCTCCTTCGCAACCACTTGGGGAATGAAGCATCAGATGGAACATCTTTCTCACTGTATATCTTCTCTGTAAACCTGTCTTTCCAATAAAAACAAATAAGCCTTTAAAAGTATTTAAAAAGATTTGCTTGTTTGCGATATATATCACACTGTGAAGGAGAGATAGCCAAAGAGAGAGGGAGAGCCACAGAGAACTTCCATCTTCCCTGTACTCCACACATGGCAACAGCAGTCAAGGCGAGGCCAGGCAGAAGCCAGGGACATGGAACTCCATGTAATATCCTTTGTAGCTGGTACGGTCCAAGAACCTGGGGAATCTTTGCTTTTTTAACGGAGTGGAATGGAAGCAGAGCCACCAGGACGCAAGCTGCCATGTTGATGTCACAGGTGGTGGCTTAACTTGCTGCATCTCAACACTGGGCCCCACTTTCCCTGTCAAGCTATGCTGTTGCTGAGGAATCTCAATGCTTACGATAAAACTTTACTCTTTATTTTGTTCATCTTATTGCCAAGACTTATACCTACATTGATTTTTAAATAATTCTACAACATTTTTCTTGATATGACTTTGCTTAGGAATGTAATATTAAATATTGCACATAATCTGTTAAAATAAGAGTTCTATTCAATAGCTCATATTTAATAGAGATGTCTGTAGTATCTAGCATATTTTAAATAATTTATTGTACTAGTAATAACTGCAATCATAATCATGATTTGTATCTAGATCACTGAGTAAATGCTAGACATTTCATTTTATTATTTATTTTTAATGGATACATTATAATTTTAGGTATTTATGGGATAACTTAGATTGTTTTAATATATATGTTGTGTTTTGTTGAACCAGAGTAAATAGCTCCTTAAATAGTTATCTTTTCTGTGGCCAGTGCCATGAGTAATAGGCTGAGCCTCTGAATGTGGTGACAGCATCCCATTCAGGATCAGGTTTGTGTCCCAGCTGTTACACTTCTGATTAAGCTTCCTGCTTATGGCCATTCCTCCCATTCCCCTACCTTCTCCAGTGTCACTAACTTCCATTGTACTTTGACCACTTTTGACATCCGCGTTGTTAGATTCCACGTATAAGAGAAATCACACGGTATTTGTACTTGTGTGCATGGCTAATTTCATGTAACATAATGCCCTTCAGTTCCATCTATGTTGCTGAAGACAACAAAACTTCAGATTTTTTTTTTTATGGCCAAAGAATGTTCTATTGTGTGTATGTGCCACATTTTCTTTATCCATTCATCAGTGGATGGACATTTAGGTTTCTTCTACTTCTTGCTTGTTGTGATTAGAGTTGCAATAACATTGGAGTGTAGATATCTCTTCTGCAGACAGATAGATGTGTTATCTGTATCAACTATTTTTCCCCATACAACACAGCCTAAAGTTGGTGTTACTATTATAGCATCAAATCTATTCATGTCTATGACTAGTTTGGACTAGTGCTACATTATTTGTTGCCTAAACTTTTACAATAGCTTCCTTAACTCACTCTTTCCATACTCTTGCCTCTGCAATTTAATCTAGGGAACACATTTTCGAAATCTTTTTTCTTTAAAGGGAATTTGGCAATATCTCTTCCTAGTTTTACTCTATTTGCTGGCCTTCTTCCTAACACACCTATTATACTTGTTAAACTGCTTCCTACTACATGATAAGATCTCACTTCTCTAGCACACCCAGCTCTTTTATTCAAGAATTCCTTCTAAACTAGCAGTTCTTGGGAACTATGCTTCAACGTTGCTCCTTTTCCTTTTGAGTTTTCTTTCCCATCTAATTTCTCCATACCCATTGTTGCATGTCATCCCAGAGCCGCTGTTGTTAACAGCAATAATCTGATCTATTACACATCAGTGACAATCTATGATCCCTACTGGATATTCTCTAAACACTAGTTCTTCCTTTTCAAAACAGTTCCACACAATTTTTATTGCTTGCTTATGGTCTTATCCTCCGAAATAGAATGAAAGATGTTGGGGGGAATAGTAAAGGCTGGGTGTAGTTTGGTTTTCTGCATATCTAACAACTACACTGTTATATCCTAGTCATTTCATAAATATTCTTTAAATAAATAAGTGATTGATATTTCCTTATATTTTGGATAATGAAAGCTTTCATTAAATGACTTTTAACAGTCTCCATAATGATAATGAGATCTGTATACTTGCAGATGGTATACAGCCATGCAAGGATTCTTCAAGGGATGCATGGAAAGTGTGAATTGCCTATTAATTCAGTTTTTCTTGTATGTTTTGAAGTTCTCTCATGTGCACTTCTGATTGTCAGGACACTTATTTCACTTCCAAGATTTCTTCCTGGGGGTCAAATGCTTTAAATGAAGAATGCAGAGTAATCCCTCTGAAGATACCAACAAAAGCAAGCAGGCAGAAATGTATTTACCTTTGGCAGAGGTTTGGCGGGTTTGCAATGAAGTCCTCCAATAAAATCAAAATTTGGCAGGAACGGATGAGGAAACTCGAAATCCCAATAACTTCGAACGAGCCAAAAGTCAGCTTTCCCTGCTATTTCAGAGAAAGTAGTAGGTCTTCCTGAATGGAGGAAAAGAGAAATAAAAAGAGTAAGAAGAGAAATGTCACATGAAATTTACCATGCAGTTTTCTGAGAGATGTTCACTGATGAAGTAAATGCTTATTTAGGCACAACAGAATTTACAACCATAAATTCCACATTTTCACCTGTCATTGATATTAAAGGCAGTGTGAGGGAAGATTATGACCCCAATGTCACTTTAGTGTATTCATAATTCCATTACACTGTGGTTATAAAAATAAATCACTACAGAATTAAGCATGCATCTGTTTTTTCTTTGAAACTGTATAAGTGGCAGAGACAAATGAAAATTATTTTACGTTCAGAATCAAATAATTTTACCAAAATTATGTGCAGGACTTTTCCAGTAGTACCCAATCTAGTTTCTACAATTTGGAAATCTTATCCCTGATTCTTAATTTTTCCATGTGAACTGTTGAGTTTCTTGAAGGTGGCTGAATTCCATGTGCTTTTGGTTTACGTTAGGAGCCTAATAATAATAAATATTTACACATATATTTGAATGTAAATATTTGTAAATATCTGGAGAATTTAAAAATATGGGAATATCATTTGCTTAATTTTTACTATTTTTTAAAAAATAAGAAATATAATTTAAAAGTGGGAGACTAATTTCCTGTGCATCTACAACTAAACAAAATTTTAGGCTTTAAAGAAACGGTTTTTAAGAACTTAGTAAACAAATGTAAAAACACTGGACACCTAAAATTATGGTTTAGTGCCCATTGCAAAATTGTTTCTCTCAGCTATGAATGAATACTTTGGCTAATAAGGAAAATATTTTAATTTCTTTTTAGCTTGGAGAGTTTACTTTTATTATTGGAATTTTGTGTTAGGACGTCAACATTGAATTTAATACATCTATGGTTTAGTCCTTGAGTCAATATCCTATGAACTCTATTTTATTTGGCACTGTCAAATCTGAATAATCAGTTTCTTCAGTAATTTCCACAGACAGCACAGTCCCATTGACATTTTGTATGAAGTCCTATACTCAAATAAATAAAATAAGTCTTAAAAAGTTTTTGATTTCCTAAGTATAGTTTTAAGTTTAACTTGTGAAGGGTATAAAGCCTTTACATATTTACTTTTTTTTTAAAAAAAAGATTTATTTATTTTTATTGCAAAGTCAGATATACAGAGAGGAAGAGAGACATAGAGGAAGATCTTCTGTCTGATGATTCACTCCCCAAGTGACTGCAATGGCCGGTGCTGTGCTGATCCGAAGCCTGGAGCCAGGAACCTCCTCCAGGTCTCCCACATGGGCTCAGGGTCCCAAAGCTTTGGGCCGTCCTCGACTGCTCTCGCAGGCCACAAGCAGGGAGCTGGATGGGAAGTAGAGCTTCCGGGATTAGAACCGGCACCCATATGGGATCCTGGTGCATTCAAGGCGAGGACTTGAGCCACTAAGCCACACTACCGGGCCCACACATTTACTTTTTATGTGCTTTGTTTAGTGCCTCAATGACCGGGCATCTATTTTTAATGTTTCCTAGCTGAAAATGTTTTCTGTTATACAGATTAGAAATATTATGTTAAATAAAATTAATTAACTTTATTATAATACTTACAATTTATTTTAAATAAATTCTATATTTTTCATGGTACAGTTCCTTAGGCTCAGAATTCCCCTTTCCCTCTATCCCTCTGCTTTCCCCTCTATAGTCATAAGTCCATCATTGTGCTATTTAAGTGTATCGTGACATTGTAGATATAGAGAATCGTATAAAGTCCAAAGTTACTGATTTTAAAATGTCTGTCTGTCTGCAGTTTCTCTTGGAACCTTTCCAAGCTGTTATGATCAGGAAATTTGAATCAATTATATACTAGAACCAGCCCAGATAAAGAAACACTTTGCAAAACTAAAATCACTTCCTAATATGGTTGACAAAAGCAAGCTATTCACTTTCATCTGTATCCCATTGAAGACATTACTGAAATCTGTTCAATTTCCAAGGAGTCACCTATGAAATTCTTCTGAATGTTTTAAGATTGGCTATAGCTAGATTTCTAACTTGCATTTCGGCTTCACTCTCCTTCCCCATTTGGAAGTAGTTTTGGTTTTAGCATGCTAGAGGAGTTATTGCTATCACTTTCCCCTACCAAATTTTTCCTCTGTTCATATAATTTTTAAATAACGCTCATAATTTCCAAGATCTTTTCCATATCCACAGAAGGTTTAGCAACCACCACTGTGTGTCTTTCTGCTATGCAACACAGGCTTCCCAAGGCAAACCAAAGCTATCATCAAAGGAGGCTACAGTACATGAAGCTTCATTCTGTAAGTATCACTCACTATCCTCCACGAGTGGGGAAGCCACAGGTCTTCTTGACCCATGTCCTGACATACTGGAGCAAAGATCTGTAAGGAGGCTACACTAGCAACAACTATGTATTAATTCTAGCACCAGATTCACAGTTCTCACATATGATTTATCCTATAAGGAAATGCCTTTAGAAAGGTATTTGAAAGTTGATTTTTAATACAGAAAAGGCAGCAGAAGTCATTCTTGTATCTGAGACTATTACAAATTCCTTCACTTTGAGTGCCAAAACCATATTGATACAAGATCTACACATTTCAGAGAATACTTGGTATGGGATCTCTTGAAAGAAATTGCAGCAGGGGCAGTAAGTAACTGTCTTAATTTAAGATGTTCACCAAATGAGTGGACATCATTTGCAATATATATATATACATATATATATATATATATATATATATATTTGTGATTTCCAATACTTGTCTTTTGAGAGAAACAATATGTCATTTTGGCACTCCTTCAACAAATCTTGTTTATTCAAAATCTATTGAAATTGTGGGAACTCTGCCAAAATTTCCTGCCAGGAAATAGAGCTTGTGCTATGACACAGCACTGGCAGTGAACAAACCCGTGGGGCAACCTGTAACCGTGCTGCTGAATCATATCGGGTAAGCTCCATTCGGGTGGCTGCAGCGAGAGAAAGAGAATGCCATTATCAAACATTCTAATTTTAAATGAGACAGATACACAACAGGGAAAATGATTTCTGTAATGTCACAGAGATAGCTGTGATAGAATGGTGTGTAACAAGTCAATCTGTATGTTTTTATTCTTGCAGGTATTATGAAGCATCCATTTTTAGCATGAAAAAAAATAGAATAAGAATTGCTTAGAGAAGTGCCCAAGACTTCATTTGTAATTCTGTGACCTGTCAAAGTCTAATCCTAGGGACAGGTCACGGGCTTCTCAATGAGCCTGTAACATAAACATTTCCATTAAGTTTGTGAAATTGATAGATCCTTTTATTATTTCACCTACAAAAGATAAAATTCTTCTGCTTTTACATTCATATAAGCTTGTCTTCAAAATCACAGGAAAGTGAGACTTCACAGTTTCAATTAAAGACACGACTTACCTAGTACTTCACTGTATAACTGATCCCACTTCTCATTGAACATTTTAAACCCAAAGTCAAAACAAAGCAGGCATATCATATTTTTCACCCTTTCTATGAATGTCATTTGGCCACCTAAACCAGACTGAATAATTGGTACGTAGGAAGGAGGCAAGATAAGTCCTCCACTCTGCCTCTCCAATGTGTAGCCAGGAGTAAAGCGTACACTGTATACTAAGGGTATTTTAAGCAGCTCCGCCAGAAGCTCCCCACAGGGAGCAAAAGGATCCGCAAGAACAACATCAAACCTTGATTCTTGTAGTTTTATTATAAGTTCCTTGCTCAACGCAACTTCTTTACAGAGTTTTAAATAATAACTAGAATATCCTGAGAAGAATTCTTGAAGTTCTGAAAAATATTCCCAGTATGTATCTTTTTGAACCATATATATCCATCTATCTGCCCATTGTGTAAAAAAGTCATACAGCTCATGTCCAGCGAAAGATGTAGGAAAAGTTTCAAATTTGATTGCAGATTTTTTGTTAGGATCACTTAGATGAGAAACTGAAGATTTCACAACAGTTACTTCATGGCCTCGCTGGACAAGCTCATCTAAGATTGTCTTCAGATTCATCCAATGGCTGAATTCCATCGGCCACACCAGCACCTTTCCACAACTCCCAGAGCTGAAGCAGCAACTCAGCTGTAGCAGCAGCAGCAGAACTGGAGCGTGTTTTGTTGACATCTTGGTGAAATGCAATGCTTCCTCCAGTTGCTTTCCTTTTCTGTAGCTGCGCATACTGAATCCATAAAAAAAATTATCAAGTAGTTAAAATATAACTGATACTAAACAAAGTAAATACATCACATGTACAAAGGTTATAGCCCAAGATGGCATGGCATAAAGCCAACTCAGATGATCTGGTGTTTATTTGAGTACTGGAATAAAGCCAATTCAGATGATCTAGTGTTTGAGTACTTTCAATGTGTTCCTTTTTTAATTCAAATTTCTCAAGTAGCTCAGGGTTTGATGACCTGTTTGAACAATTCTACATCATGTCAGAGATTTTAGAAAAATGCCAAGAGCAGAGGCAAGTGAGAGGTGATCTCACAGAACCAGAGACAAAGTTAATTATACAACTGATCTACATTTCTTGGGTAGTGCTGTTTGAAGGAATTCATTGTATAAAGTGTTTAAAAAGGTTTCTTTCTTTCTCTGTCTTACACACACACACACGTTTTACAGATTGAAAGTGTGCAATTCAACTTCTTTGGCATATTCACAGGAATGTGTGTTCAATGTCACTGTCCATTTTGAAGCATTTTTCATCCTTCTAAAAAGAAACCCTCCTGCACACACTATTTTTTGTACCCCCCCAACTCCATTTTCTGAGTTCTCCTTTACTAAGCAAACACTTATTTACTTTCCATTTCTGTGCATTTTTCCATTATGGGCATTTCATACAAATGGAATCCTACAGTGCTTGGGGCAGAGACATGCTGTCCCTGGCAGGGGCCAGGTCTCCAACCTACAGTTTCATGTGCTTCCTCCATAATGAAACCTCCAGATTCTCAGTGAGCTTGGTAATAGACTACTAATCATTGTCTAGTTCATCCTTTTTTCCCCCTTGTTTATTATTTTATTTTGCCAGTTTGTTGTTTGAGAATTTCAGTCACCTTTATGTTAACTGATGTTGAACTCAGTTTATACTGGGGTGTCTTTCTCCTGGTATGACAGTAAGAATAAAATCTATCTTGTTCGTGTGGGTGTTGGGATGAAGGGATGTAAGCTGTCTCTTGGGATGGCAGCGTGTTATAGGGGAGTGCAAGTGAGAAGGCCGGCTTCTTCTGCCTGGTTCAGCCCAGCTGTTGGGGCCAATGGGACTTGAACCAGCCGATGGATGATCTCTGTCTTTATCTCCTTATCTCTGTAAATCTACCTTTCCAAGAAAAACAAACTTAAAAAGTTTATGTTGGTACCATGGGTTTTTTCTCATAATATATATTTTTCATGGACATTTTGAAAACAACTTGTATATTCTATTTTACTACATTTCAATAGTGGCTATTTCTAAACATGCATGGCAAAATTATACTAGCCTTCTGTTTTTCATGAATCAAGAGGCTGAGGTTCCCCTTATTTACATTTTTTTTCAGTTACAAGGTTATACTATTAAAATAAAATAAATTTGATTGGGGTTTTGTAAAATAAGATTTATACTGCTTAATGTTTTATCAACTGTAAAACATTCAGGTAATTAATTCAGAGAGACATGAATTTAGCAAAAATTTTAAATTAAAAAATTTTAATATTGATTACATAGTTGAGAGGAATGTGTACCCATGTGGACCTCTGATTAGGATGGAGAGGATCATGGTGTGGAGAAAGGTTGGTGAGAGATAAATGTTTCAGTTTTTTTCCCCCTGTGTCCGTTGAGGGGATGGGTGGGAAGGAAGAATTCCACTCCTTGCTTTCCAACTACTGCAGCAACCGGAGACTGGGGACAGTCATCGATGTCTGTTTAGAGACCATGATGTGGGGAAGATTTTTCTGAGGATATTACCGAAGTGGTTTGAAAATTCTGAGACATTGTTGGCTTTGTTGCACCCAAATCTTTCTAAGATCTATTTACTGACAAGATTTTTCCTACTTGGGAGTGAAATAGTGAATTTAGGACTAGGCAAAGGACAGGAACAGACAATTTTCAAATGATGAAATATAAATGGCTGACAGATACATGAAAACAAAAATGTTCAAGATCAAGGAAAATAAAAGCTACAGTGAGGTTCTTCCTCAAGTCAGCTATCCCGAGTACAATGCTGATATCACTTTATATCCACTGGGATGGTTATTTTAGAAAATTTTCATTAACATGAAGTGTCCATAAAAACTAGCAATTCTGTTCCTTGGTACTCCACAAAAGAAACAAAATGTTAACAAGAAGGCACACATGGGCATGTTCATCATAACAAAAGTTGCAAAATCTTACCTCCAAAATGCTAATGTAGTGTTGACCAATTTGAAGATACAGGAATTCGAGATTGTCCTACTGTGTCAATCATGAAGTGCCATCTAGCATTCAGGGAAAGTTAAGGCATAGTGGAAAGAATAATTACAAAAAAAATAAACATTTGAGACTTTCCAGGAAAGATAGCTTGGTGAGATTTTTTCACCTTTATATTCTGTCCCAGGCAGGGCTCCGCTCTCATGTGCTATGTATAAGTTTGAATGAATCACTTCACCTTTGAGCCTCAGCTGCCTCACCCATAAAATGAAGCGGATGATCGAGACAGTCTCTCAGGTCGTTTCCATCTCTGACATGCTATTAGTTTATTATGCTGAGAAAAACCTCACATTATGTTAAGTGTACAGCAGTCAAACTGAAACTGATGATTAATTATTTTGCTTACATATTGTTTTATCAAGAACTGGACAAGTAGTAAATCCATGGGTTATTTTTCAGCTTACAAAAGAAGTCATGTTGAAAAAAGAAGCACACTTCCCAGTGGTTAAATCAATTCATCTTTTTTTTCAAAATTAGACTCTAGGAACAAGAAATCCACATGAATTGAAGATAGGAGATTTGAAATATTGACTATTTTAAAAAGTTGTGCTGATGAGGGATCAGTAACGACTATCTTCAAGGCCTTTAGCAAATCTGTGCTTGACATTCTTAGATATTGCCAGGCCATGTCCATCAAGAAAGGTTGGTTTTCTTGTTCTATAAATCTAGTTGGTTGTGAGGGCCCTTAATTTTGGGATTGGTGAGCTTGGGACATTTTTTTTTCTCTGAATATCATTCTGACTAGCACAGTTACCAGACACAATCCAAAATACAGGTGAAGTAAAATGATGGATATTTCTTGTGAAGCTAAACTATGAGATGCAATCCAGTCTTTTTTCAACATTGACCTTTTGTGAGTGCTTCTGCAGTGCATCATTAACATACTGATCCACTATAACAACATCTGTGGTATGTATAGTGTCTTAAGGAATCCTCTAAGGAAAAGACAGATTTGGTGATCTTGGGAGAACCAGTGAGACCCCCAAGACGCTGGAGGCTAGGATTGCCCCTTGTTTACAAGCCTTGTCATAAGTGCCCTGCTCAGAAACAACAACCACCACATTTAAGACCAATGAACGATTGCTCTGCAGGTCCTTAGAGACCAAGTCGCTTGAAGCTGTATCAATACCCCTGAACTGTGAGTAGTCCTCTGTCTCTCTCAAACAGGTTCTCTTTCCTGAGAGCTTCTCTATTTCCTACTCACAACACTTTGATTCTTCTTACCACTCAGTTAAAATTTGTCAATCACTGTCTCATGGACAACAAACCTAAAAATCCCAGAGAAAACTCCCCAAACAATTTCTGTGTACTTGATTTAACAGATCGTTAACTTGCCCTGTACCTGTTAAATGTGTTTCTTCTGAATACAATGCTATTATTAGTTTGAAGGAGTCTCTGCTGTTTATTATCTAACTTCTGCATTTTTTTTGTTTTAAAAGTGATGTTTTAGATATTCCTGAGGTACAAGTGTTTATCTTTTACATTACAAATTTCTACAATTAGACATATCTTAACAGAATTATTCAGCTTTATCTAAACTAGGAGAGTTTTTGTGAACTTTTGTGGAACCTGAGTAAGGCGAAGGTGATGACTTTGGCTCTTCTGCGTATAGATCAATGGTCTATTGACCGACTGTCTAATTTATCTTATCCAGTCCGAGAAGAAATAACACAAAGGAGTATCATCAATTGTGTGTCTAGGCAAGTGTGTGTGTGTGTGTGTGTGTTTGGGTGTTGTAAAAAAAAATGGGATAGAACTGTTATATACTGGGGGCAAATGTTCTCCCTTAGCCAAGCTCTAGTTAGGCTTATTGGCTAATTTTTTATACATTGGGTGTTTGGGCATGCTCTGCATTTTAATTTCTTTTTTTAAAGGATTTATTTAGTTGAAAGACAGAATTACAAAAAGACAGAGACAGAAAGAGATTTGCCATCTGTTAGCTCACTTCCCAAGTGGCTGCAACAGAAAGGGTTTGCCAGGTGGAAGCTAAGACACTGGAACTCCAACATGGTTTCCCACTGCATGACTGGGCTTGAGCGCTTGAACCGTTTTTTACTACCTTTCCAAGAGCATTGGCAGCAAGCAGGAATAGTAGAATACCCATGTCACAACACTGGCTTAAATCAATGAAAATCAATGTAGTATGTAATTTCTTTCAAGACATTTTCCTTTACATATACAATTGAGTAGCCATTTTCTGCAGGAGGTCTAGCTTTCTGGTTTATCTCAGCAATACACTTCCTCACTCATGTTTATCATCTCTTGATTTTATCATGAAACACATGTGAATCTTCCTTTCATCTCAACAATTACAGATCACTGTATAATTATTAACTGGCTGACTTTCAATGCTGTTCTGTCTCAGAAAGGGGAGGCCCAAGGAAAGAGAGACAGATGGGGAAGTGGTTCATTGGTGGAGCTCTCAGAGTGCATGACTTCATACCTTAAGTTTGCAAACTTAAATGTGTCAGATGGGTACTTCCTTCACAAATTACAGTAATAACATGAGATCATGAGTATCATAGCACTGAAACATATAAAATAATAATGAAAAACTGTAAAGTACCATAAAAATGACAAAAACATTACCTGGAAACATGAAGTGAGCACAGTATGTTGGAGAAATGGTCCACATAAATTTGCTCAAGATAATGTTTTCACAAACTTTCAATGTAAAGGCAAAACAG